TGGTGCGGTACGGCTCGGAGAGCATAGATTACTAACAAGGGGATTGCTAACTCACGCTTTGCTCGCCTTGGAAAACGCTAAGTGTGTGTGACTCGGGTGGCGCGGACCGAGGCTGATACGTATGCGGGCTTAAGGGGCGAAACTAAATAATAAATGGTTGCATCGCAGGTGCTAAGTGGCACACGCACATCCGGTTAAGGTGCCGCGGTACGGGTAGGATCTACGGTAACGGTAACATATATTTTGCAATATGCGTGTGTGTGCGGATGCGAGCTGGTTCCGAGGCTGTGGGGGCCACACACAGCAGCAAGGTCACATGGTCACACACCACACATCCGCCCACACTACACGTACACACATCATCCCACGTCTAAATATACAACATGTTCTGCTTGTCATGTCTATGACAAAATACGGCATAACTGCATATTACGCTCTTGCTAATGAGCACGATTTGTGTCATAGAAGGTTCTTTCCTATGAAACAAATATTGGCTCTTTAGCAGCTGAAATTCACTGCTTGCGTTCAATAATCAGCGCTCATAAAACTCCTAATGATGGCGCACAACACATGAAAGATTCTTGCCCTATGACAAATAGTGTCAATAGGAAAGCGTATTATGCGTATGTCGTATTTGTCATAGATGCAAGCAGAACAGGCTGAAATATAAGCTGTAATTTACATTACCATTTACGTACATTCCTATCGGAGTAGAGATATGGCGCGTATGCGTGGAAACGACGGGAGGTTATATCACAGCCAGCACAACAACATTACAGCATGAGAAACAACGACGTAGTATATATTGGATTCCTTTGGAAGTACGCGCTCGTATATTATTTATTATATATATATATGGTGTGTGTGTGTGTTGTGGTGTGGTGCGTGCGTGCGTGCGTGCGTGCGTGCGTGCGTGCGTGCGTGCGTGCGTGCGTGTGTGTGCGTGCGTGCGTGCGTGCGTGTGTATATATATTAGGTAGATGAGTTTATCTCTGCAGGCGCACGTGCGTAGGCTTAATTAGATCTGAACACCTGCTGATTACGTACTCTTCATTTTAATTATCGTTGCTTTCAAGTATGATGCTCTGTATGTACTATGTTTTTCAAGTAAGGTGCCTGGCCACTTGCCGAAGCACTGTTCAGGCGTGTTTCCTCACACACAGATTATAACGTAGACAGGCTATAATAATAAGTAATATAATAAGATAATAATAATAATAATAATAATAGTAATAATAAGTTATCAGACTATGGTGGCCAAAATGACCATTAATCTATTCACTAAATCCTGGAGATCCATGGATATCACTAAAGGGCCGGACACACTAGGCGATTTTATCGGGCGACTCAGTCGGGCGACTCAATCGCCGGTGAAAATCGCGTTGAAAATGTGTTCAGTCAGTCGCCGCCGATTTAGTCGCCCGATTCAATCTCATCGATCAAAACGTTTTGATATTATCGGGTGATTATTTCAGTCGCACGACTCGATTGCCTAATGTGTCCGGGTCGGCGATTTAGTCGCCCGATTGTACAATTCATCGGCAAATCAGAGTTGTTCAATGATACTGGTTAGGCCGCGTTACTATGTGGATGTTTACGTGGTGGTGGTAGTGTGCGGTAGGTGGCGGTAGAAACTCGCCGTCAAAACGAAACTCGCCGTCGTGTTCACTCGACTCTCGCGATAGAATCGGGCGATAGAATCGGGCGATAAAGTCGCCCGATTAGATCGCATTAAAATCGCCTAGTGTGTCCGGCCCTTTACTTTAGGTTTTTTTTCTCTGTGATATGATGGCCCCTCTGAGCCACCGCACTCAAGCCAAATCGGTAAGCTTTACCCAGACAACTGCTAAGACGTAATAATCAGGTGATGGCTATAATCATAATCGCAATCGGCTGTTCTTCACAGGTCCGCGTGGCAACCCGGTCGAGTGCCAGGTGTACCTGTGGAAAGGGCGCATCTACCGGGCCGAGTACCGACCGAACGAGGTCGGATCTCACAAGGTGGACGTCATCTACAACGACCTCGCCATTCCCGGATCTCCGTTCGTCTGCGAGGTGTATGACGTCAGCAAGATCCGCGTACACGCCGCTGATGACGGTGTCGTCGGACAGACGCTCAACTTTAAAGGTAGGCGTGCGCCACAGTAATAGAGAATAGAATCAGAGCGCTGTTAATACAAATATACTGGAAGCGTGGCAGTGCAAGGGGGTCGTCGGACAGACGCTCAACTTGAAAGGTAGGCGTGCGCCACAGTAATAGAGAATAGACTGGACGACGAACTACATATCGCGAGTGTGTATTCTGTTCTGATGGATTCCGATCTCTGTCTCGCGGGCTGAAGATCTGGCGGGGCGGTTATTGGAATGTTTTCGCTGCTTCTGTCGTCACTGGAAAACAATTTCCTGCGGTAGTCTTGCTTTAATTTATCATCCCGTACGATGATTAGCGAAGCCGCATGAGGTAGCGTTTCATCTGGCTGGCTAGCCCTCAAGTAGCGACATGTGAGAGAGTATCTGGCCACACGCACGCACAAGCGCACGCACACGCGCGCGCACACACACGCATACACGCGCGCGCAATGCGCACGCACGCACACAATGCGCACGCGCCGCCTGGGGATCCCACACGAAACGCGCACGGCAGCACACACCACCCGCACACACACACCACACACACACACACACACGACACACACACACACGTCACCGAGCGCACCACGCGCATAGCGCCTGATAACTGAGCTGCTCATCTCCCACTGGGTCGCTCGCCGTCGCGTTAGCCTCGGCGCGTTGGCGTGCGTGCGACCGGCGGCTATGTTTGCTGCACACTGCCGTGCGCGCACTGTGGTGACCCGGTCACCCGGTGTCCACCCTTCATTGCGCGTGCCCGGTCACCCCGGTGTTCACTCACCTTGCGTGATAAATCGCCGCATGTGTAGACATCGGCTTGCTAATTACGACTAACTACTAAACTACACCCACACTCCCAGCGGGTTTAATGCGTGCCGAGGCGCCTCACAGGTGCTATGGCAGCGCCTCCAATTAAGCGTATAGTCTAAATTACACGCGTAATTCGTTTTCGCGCGCGGGTGCGTTTGTGTGCGGGCGTGTGTGCGTGTGTCTGTATGTGCGTGCATCCGTGCTTGTGTATGTGTGTGTGTATGTGAGGGGGGGTTAGGTGTAGTGTGTGTGTGTGTGTGTGTGTGTGTTGTGTGTGTGTGTGTGTGTGTGTGTGTGTGTGTGTGTGGTGTGTGTGTTTGTGTGTGTGTGTGTTTGTTGTGTGTGTGTGTGTGTGTGTGTGTGTGTGTGTGTGTGTGATGTGTGTGTTGTGTGTTGTGTGTGATGTGTGTGTGTTGTGGTGTGTGTGTGCTAGTGTGTGCTGTGTCCTGTGTAATGGTCTGGTGTCTGTGTCTGTGTCTGTGTCTGCATAGTCGTGTGTCTGTGTCTGTGTCTGTGTCTGTGTGCTGTGTCTGTGTCTGTGTTCTGTGTCTGTGTCTGGTGTCTGTGTCTGTGTCCTGTGTCCTGTGTCCTGTGTCCTGTGGTCTGTGTCTGTGTACTGTGTCTGTGTCTGTGTCTGTGTCTGTGTCTGATGTCTGTGTCTGTGTCTGTTGTCTGTGTCTGTGTCTTGGTGTCTGTGTCTGTTGTCTGTGTCTGTGTCTGTGTCTTCTGTGTCTGTGTCTGTGTCTGTGTCTGTGCTGTGCCTGTGTCTGTGTCTGTGTCTGTGTCTGTGTCTGTGTCTGTGTCTGTGTCCCTGTGTCCTGTGTCTGTGTCCTTCGTGTCTGTGTCTTGTGTGCTGTGTCTTGTGTCCTGTGTCTGGTGTCTGTGTCTTGTGTCTGTGGTCTGTGTCTGCTGTGCTGTGGTCTGTGTCTGTGTGGCTGTGTCTGTGTCTGTGTCTGTGTCTGTGTCTGTGTCTGTGTCTGTGTCTGTGTCTGTGTATGTGTCTGTGTCTGTGTCTGTGTTGTGTCTGTGGTCCTGTGTCTGTGTCTGTGTCTGTGTCTGTGGTCTGTTGTCTGTGTCTGGTGTCTGTGTCTGTGTCTTGTGTCTGTGTCTGTGTCTGTGTCTTGTGTCTGTGGTCTGTGTCTGTGTTTCTGTGTCTGTGTCTGTGTCTGTGTCTGTGTCTGTGTCTGTGTCTGTGTCTGTGTCTGTGTCTGTGTCTAGTGTGCTGTGTCTGTGTCTGTGTCTGTGTCCTGTGTCTGTGTCTGTGCCTGTGTCTGTGTCTGTGTCTGTGTCTGTGTCTGTGTCTGTTCTGTGTCTGTGTCCTGTGTCTGTGTCTGTGTCTGTGTCTGTGTCCTGTGTTCCGTGGTCTTGTGCTGTGTCTGTGTCTGATGTGCTGTGTCTGTGTCTGTGTCTGTGTCTGTGTCTGTGTCTGTTTGTCTTGTGTCCTGTGTCTGTGTCTGTGTCTGTGGTCGTGATCCTGTGTCTGTGTCTGTGTCCTGTGTCGTCTGTGTCTGTGTCTGTGTCTGTGTCTGTGTCTGTGTCTGTGTCTGTGTGCTGTGTCTGTGTCTGTGGTCTGGTCTGTGTCTGTGTCTGGTGTCTGTGTCTGTGTCTGTGTCTGTGTCTGTGTCTGGTGTCTGTGTCTGTGTCTGTGTCTGTGTTCTGTGTCTGCTGTCTGTGTTGTGTCCTGTGTCGTGTTGTGTCTGTGTCTGTGTCTTTGTCATGTGTCTGGGTGTCCTGTGTTCTGTGTCTGTGTGGCTGGTGTCGTGGTGTCTGTGTCTGTGTCTGTGTCTGATGTCTTGTGTCTGTTGGTCTGTGTCTGTGTCTTCGTGTCGTGTGTCCTGTGTCTGTGGGTCTGTGTCTGGTGGTCTGATGTCTTTTGGTGTCTGTGTGCTGTGTCTGTGTTGACTGTCTTGTCTGTGGTCTGTGTCTGTGTCTATTGTGTCTGTGTTCTTGTGTGCTCTGTGTCTGTGTCTGTGTCTGTGTCTGTGTCTGTGTCTGTGTATTGTGGTCTGTGTCTGTGTCTGTGTGCTGTGTCTGATGGTCATGTGTCTGTGTTCTGTGTCTGTGTCTGGTCTGGTGTCTGTGTCTGTGTCTGTGTCTGTGTCTGTGTCTGTGTCTGTGTCTGTGTCTGTTGTCTGTGTCTGTGTCTGTGTCTGTGTCTGTGTCTGTGTCTGATCGTCTGTGTCTGTGTACTGTGTCTGTGTCTGTGTCCTTGTGTCTGTAGTCTGTGTCTGTGTCTGTGTCCTGTGCTAGTGTCGTGACTGTGTCTGTGTCTGTGTCTGTGTCTGTGTCTGTGTCTGTGTCTGTGTGTAGTCTGTGTCTGTGTCTGTGTCTGTGTGCTGTAGGTGCTGTGTCCCTGTGTCTGTGTCTGTGATCTGTGTCTGTGTACTGTGTCTGTGTCTGTGTCTGTGTCTGTGTGCTGTGTCTGATGTCTGTGTCTGTTCCGTGTCTGTGTCCTGGTGTCTGTGTTTGTGTCTGGTGTCTGTGTCGCTGTGTCTGGTGTCTGTGTCTGTGTCCTGTGTCTGGTCTTGGTCTGTGCTGTGTCTGTGTCTGGTGTCCTGTGTCTGTGTCTTGTGTCTGTGTCTGTGGTTTGTGTCTTGTCTTGGTTCTGTGTTCGTTGTGTCTGTGTCTGATGTCGTGTCTGTGTCTGTGTGTGTGTGTGTGTGTGTGTGGTGTGTGTGTGTGTGTGGTGGTGTGTGTGTGTGTGTGTGTGTGGTGTGTGTTGTGTGTGTGTGTAAGCGTGGAGGGATGGGTGAAAATTTTTTAAGTGATATGTAAAAGTAGCTGGTGAATAGAAGCTGGTGAACCTTTAGAAACGTTTATTGTGAGCGGCCTCAAAGTGACGGCTCTCTCGCTCATTCTGAGCATAATTACAGAGAAAATTAATTATGGTAGTTAACGGCTTACTTCTCTCCCAAGAGGGAAAGGCTCACTGACTGACATTTTAAGAGGATTCGCGCTGACTATGTTTGTTAGCAGGAGCGTCCTCTATCCAAAGGTCTCTCTCTCCCCACACAATAGACATTAACCACTGATAATTGTTCTAATGTATGTGTATGCGTGCGCGCGTGCGTGCGTGCATTCGTGCGGCGTGCATGTGTATGCGCGTGCGTGCGAGCGTGTGTGTATGCGTTCGTTTGTGCGTGTGAGTGTGTGTGCGTTCATTCGTGCGGCATGTGCGTGCGTGCGCGCGTAGGTGTCCGTGGCGTTGCGCGCCGTATGTCCGTTCGTGCGCGCCGTGTGTGCGTGCGTGCGCAGCGTGATATCCGTGGCGGTGCGCGCCGTGTGTGCGTGCGTCCGTCAGCGCCGAGGCAGCCGCGTGGTCCGTGCGTGCGCGCCGTGTGTGGCGGGCGTGCGCGCCGTGTGTGCGTGCGTGCGCGCGCCGTGTGTCCGTTCGTGGCGCGCCGTGTGTTGCGTTGCGTGTGTCCGTGGCGTGCGCGCCGTGTGTGCATGCGTGCGCGGCGTGTATCCGTGCGTGCGCTGCCGTGGTGTGCGTGCGTGCGGCGCGCCGTGTGTCCGTGCGTGCGCGCTGTGTGTTGCGGGCGTGCGCGCGGCCGTGGTGTCCGTGCGTGCGCGCCGTGTGTGCGTGCGTGCGCAGCGCCTGTGTCCGTCGTGGGCGCGAGCGCTCGTGTCGTGTTTTCGTGAGTGTGTCCGTGCGTCAGCATTGCGTCGGCGTCACATCGTCTGCGTCTCGTGTTGCAGTTGACACGTCGCAGGCGGGTTACGGCAACATCGAGCCGGAGATGAAGGCGCGTGGCCACGACGTGCCTCTGCGTAAGCTCAACCAGGGTAGCGGCATCTACATGCTCACCTTTACGCCGCAGGAGCCCGTGCGCACCAAACTCTACCTCACCTTCAACGGACACCCAGAAGCCCGTCCGTCAAAGGTACGCGTATGTTATATGTTAAAGGTACGCGTATGTTATATGTTAAAGGTACGCGTACGTTATACCCCGTACAGACTGCAGATTTGATCCCCACATCAAACTATAGTCCGGGCCCGATGCGCGCTAAAATTTTTCCAGTGTGTACACGCTATCCCGCGCAAATACGCGCTAGTTGAGACTAAATTAGCCTCGAAAATGCAGTGGGTCATGATCAATTTTAGTATTAAGCGTTACGGTGCATTGGTCGGTGTGGCTGCTCGGTTTTGGATGGGGTGACATGCTTTGATATTTACTTTCAATGAATATCCGCCAAAGGTTGGCGTGTTAGTTTTACGGCGCGAAGGTCGGTGTTACTGCTCCGGTGGGATGTGCCATGACGTTTTAGTACCATTAGATATGTGTATGATGAAGGCTTGTTATCAATTCAGATAGATTTGAGGCGGATTGAGGAGAGAGGTTGTATAGATGGGAAGAGCGGATGAGAGAGAGGTAAAAGAGGGGAAAGTGAGGAGAGAGAGGAGCGAGGGAACAGAGAGGGAAGCGAGAGAGAGAGAGAGGGTATAGAGGGGATGAACGAGTGAGATAGAGGTGATATAGAAGGGGAGCGGGTGAGAGAGATAAGAGAGGGGAAAGCGAGGAGAGAGAGAGGAGAGGAGGGGGAAGCAGAGAAGAGGGAACGAGAAAGAGAGAGGGTATAGAGGGGATGAACGAGTGAGAGAGAGGTGATATAGAGGGGGAGCGAGTGAGAGAGGAAAGCGAGGAGAGAGAGAGAGAGAGAGAGAGAGAGAGAGAAAGGAGAGAGAGAGACAGAGAGAGCAAGACGCAGAGAGAGAAGAGACTGAGAAGAGAGAGAGAGAGCAGGAGAGGAGAGAGAGAGAGATGAGAGAGAGCAGAGATGCGAGAGAGAGCAGGAGAGCAGAGCAAGAAGAGAGCGAGATGAGAGAAGAGAGAGAAAGATGAAGAGAGAAGAGAGAGAGAGAGAGAGAGAGAGAGAGAGAGAGTGAGAGAGCGCGCGGCTGACAGCCAGAGAGAGAGTAGGCATGTCTTCGATGTTTATCAAAACACCATGCAGTGAGGAGCGGTGGTTTGCGCACACCTTTGTGAAGTGGTCGCCGTAGTAATGAGAGATCTCACTCGCTAATAGCTGGCATTTCATTACTAGTTCCGCAATTCTAGTATATACAGTTGCACGGATTCGTGCGGCTAGATGTAATTATGATTTGTTTTTACAAAGGGTTCTGTTGGTATTATTAGTTCGAACACCGTGCGCGTATATTTCTACGGATGCATGCTTTGTGATCGTCGTACGTTCGACGCGATTGTGTCTCAATTTCCATCTTTATTTCCAACTTGAATATCGTAGTTCCCAACTGCAATTACGCTCGCGTAATTAATCCCTGCCTCTGCATCCTCCTGTTCATGCAGGCAGTCCGTTTGAGGTGCACGTGAAGGATTTTGCAATGCAGCAGACTCACCTTGGATTGACCCACGAGCCGGGCCACGTTGTCGCCAGCGGCAGGGGCCTGAAGGGTGGTCGCGTGGGCGACAGGCTCTGGTTTGTCGCAGAGGTTCACACAGCTGAGGGACAGCTAGAGACCTTCATCACAGGTATGAACATATGCGGGTAACATGTGCGACGTATTGCCACTGAATGCGGTTGATGGGTGGGAGTTTTTTTTCGTTGGTTTATGCTAGCCAGTTATTCTGTAACAGGCTGTAATGAGCTGATATTCAAGAAGGGAATGTATATAAAGTCCTTATAAAGTCTTCGTTTCTTTATTTTTCAATTAAAATTTCCCACTAAAAATTGTTTCGGGTTTGAGTTTTGGCATGTTGCCACGTTGACCATTACTCAGGAATTTTCTAGCTAATAGTGAAAGCTTTTACGCCGAAGACCCCCAGTACCGGTACTGTGTAATCGTGTGGTTTTTCTGCACGACGTTGGCTGCCGTTTCTTGCTAAAAGCTGCAAAGGCTTTAATTAGAAAGCTTTTAAACGGAATTTGTCGCCATTTTATCGGCAGTGTCTAGAATGCTTCACTGTAGCTCTGAATGTATCCGCATGAGTCGGATAGCGAAGGGAGAACTCTAGCCACAGGTTACCTTATTGCTCCTCACTACCTACCGGAAAGAGAAAACGTCCTGCGACGTGAAACAGTTGTGAGCTTGGTGGGGCTAGAAGAACTCGTGTTATACCGTATCGATCGTTTACCCTGATATGCAGTGCAGTCTCTAAGCATCGTCCTTGGGCCGCTAGTGCCACCAACAGATAGTGTTACTTTGTAATAGCAGCAAGGTTCAAAACCGAACTTGCTTCTCCCTACTATACTCTGCCTACCTATGCGTCATCACTTCTGTGTAGAAACGCGTCACTTCACGAAACACTCCTCTCATGAGTAAAAGTATGTTTCTTCAAAGTAGGTTCATAAGAGAGAGAGAGGCCAGGCTTAAATAAGAAGAGGCCGGGCTGCGGCATTGCTGGTGGTTTTAGCTACTAATTAGCTGGCTGTAGTTCGGTCTTACCTCAAATCCAACTGGTCTCATATCGAATCGAAACTGATATCATGATAAAGAACATGTACGTCGAGAAGGAAGCAAATAATGGCCGACGTGTAAGCAAGCAGCAGTAAATTAATCGAGCGTCGCTCTGCGCGCAAAAATCTCCCGCTTTGCCGAAGCAACGTTGATTTGATGTGCTTAGTTGGTTGCACAGCCGTGCGTTGGCGATATTTGTGCTCACAGTCGCATCAACACTCATTACACAACTGATCAAAGCTCTGCGAGTTGGCGTGTTCTCAATTGCATTGTTTATTGGCGTGTTCTCAATTGCATTGTTTATTGGCGTGTTCTCAATTGCATTGTTTATCGGCGTGTTCTCAATTGCATTGTTTATTGGCATGTTCTCAATTGCATTGTTTCTTGGCGTGTTCTCAATTGCATTGTTTTTTGGTGTGTTCTCAATTGCATTGTTTATTGGCGTGTTTTCAACTGCATTGTTTATTACGCGCAGCGCCGAACGGCAGCCACATTCAGGCGCGGCAGAGCAAGCAGAAAGATGGCGACTACAAGATCGACTGGTCGCCGACCGTTCCCGGGCGATATCAGATCGACGTGATGCAGAGCGGACGCGCGATCATGGGCAGCCCGTTCTACGCTGAAGTCTACGACCCGAGCAGAGTTGTCATAGAGGAAGTCACCCAGGCGATGGTCGCACACGAGGCTGGGTTTAAAGGTGCGAGTCGCGTTTCCAATATGTCCGTATCGACGCTGCGCCGGAACGAAAACGCGCACGATGAACATTAAAATATCGTGAACTAAATATTTGACCTCAAATTAAATGGCGTTGTTGTGAGCTGTGCATGCGTTGGTGCGTGCGTGCGTGCATGCGTTGGTGCGTGCGTGCGTGCATGCGTTGGTGCGTGCGTGCGTGCATGCGTTGGTGCGTGCGTGCGTGCATGCGTTGGTGCGTGCGTGCGTGCATGCGTTGGTGCGTGCGTGCATGCATGTGCGTGCGTGTGTGTGTGTGTATGTGTGTGTGCGTGCGTGCGTGCGTGCGCATGTGCGTGTCATTAACACTGTGCTCTCTGCAGTCATCTACGTGGACGCGGGCCGGGCCGACCTGCTCGTGACGATCACAAGCCCCTCAGGTGGCAACCTTCCCTTCGACATACACGAGGGCAGTGGCTTCACCTACATCAGTTACGTCGCGCAGGAGCCCGGCAAGCACAGAGTTGTCATCACCTACGGCGGAGACGACGTGCCTCGTAGGTTCATTAATACGTCCCCTAGACCTCCCCCTCCCTTCTCTCGCTCTCGCCTATAGAAATGAAAGGGGATGCCAGGTGATTAATATGAAACAGTGCACGATGGTTGTTTCGCAAACGGAAACGGGATTCTAGTTTAGTGATGCTTGTTGTGGCGGTAATGATGGTGATGGCAGTGACTAGAGATAATTAACTAACGATAATGATAATCGTAATGACTGGATGCTTTGAAGTGTGTGGATGTAGTTTGGTTACTTATTTCGTATATATATATATATATATATATGATACTCTGTCGATCGCATGCAGGTGTCCACGTCAGCGCTTCTTGGTAGCCTTGGTTTTCTATCTACTATTGGCAACATAGTTTAATGTTGCTGGCATCTGTGAAGAAGAGGCCTGGACAGCCTCTACGGATTTAGCTTGCTGGTTGGATGTTTCCATTGTATATATAAAAAAGTTATGTTATGAAGATGCTACACAAAGTTAGCAATAAACATGGTTAATGTTGCTGACGCTAAGCCAATAAAAAATTGAACAAAATACGTGTGACACTTGCAAACCGAGAAAAGTAGCATGTAACACCTTATCTGCAGGCCTCACGAAGTATCTGTGTGAAATTACGTGCGGATCGGATCTAAAAGGAAGACACATAGAGAGACGATATACGTGTTCACCAAGAGCCACTCAAGAGAATTTATTATAGGATAGGATAGGATGTTAAATTAGTGCTGCTGCTGCTGATGTCCCAGCAGAAGCAGCCCCAGGAACAGCCTACGGCTATGTTATAGTATAAAAAAAAAAATTATTATAGAATTCTCGAGACTCGTGTGTGCGAGTGTAAATAATATAGAGCTTCTCTGAAAGAACTTCCTTGTAATGACATTGTATCCCATTGGGCATGCGTCATAGTTTCGAAGATGAAAGAAGATTTTGGCTCAGAGGCACCACAGTCTTAGATATTGTTATTGCCAACAACGTGAAAAATATTCACAAAAATTAAATCTGACCGTATTGGTTCGTTATAGTTCTTTGCACTAGTGCAATAAAAAACAGATATGTGCTCTTACTTGAACAGTTTGGCCCAATTGATCTACTTTTTATACTTATTGAACCTTAAGGCAGGCACGATCCAATGATAGTGCTATGACATTGTTCGCTTCGATCAGTCATTCGGTAGGCGTGTAATTGAGGCGCTTGAAAATTGCAATCAGAGGCAGGTAGTTCCATTAGCAATAAACACCTCATCCCTGTTGTTATACGTCATTACATTGTTTCATCTAAGACCGTACTCGCCACATGTTCTGCTGACATCTATGACAAATATGACATACGCATATATACGCTCTCCTATGACACTATTTGTCATAGGAAGATTCTTCCTATGATAAATATTGGCGAGTCAACTTCGTTCCGCTTTACAGCTGAAATTCACTGTTTGCGTTCATAATAGCGCTCCTAAACTCCTATGATGCGCACAACACATACAACAATGTCATAGGAAGAATCTTCTTATGACAAATACTAGTAGTGTCATAGGAGAGCGTATATGCCTATGTCGTATTTGTCATAGATGCAAGCAGAACAGGCTGGTACACGTGTCAGTGCGGTCAACATGTTATCACGATTAACTTGCGCCGAGTAAACACGTGCAGATTTGTTTTGCGTGGAAAGCGCATTGATCTATTCACTTAACAACTATGCAAACTGAATACGAGTCCGTGCACACATCGTTTCCCATATTCCAGTCGCTTTGTGGCGATGTCGGATCATGTCGCAGTGATTCTCGATGCACTGCTGTTAATTACATTATGAAAGTTGTAGCACATTAGAGCGAGTGTGTGAGAGCGACAGCGTGCACGTCATTGCCGCCGAGTAATAATCGTCTGAGCTCGAATTAAAATAATGAGAAAGTAATTCCAACGTTTAATGGAGCTTGATAAAACTGTGATAACCAGTGTATCGTTTTCCGATTTTTAATGATAATTAAAATAGCTATAATAGTTCAACTGTAACATAAAGTACATGTACAGTACAATCTCTATATTGCGGTCACACACGGGAACTCCAAACGTGTCCTTTATATGTTCTCTATAGTTTCTATTTTAATTATGCGATGAGATTTTTGTTATGAATGCTAAAATAGGTGTCATTTTAAATTTAGTCGGGAGGAGAGGAGGGGAATCATGGTACGATGTTACACGGCCTGTGTGTGTTACTTACTGTGTCATTCAGATTGCATACTCTCTAGTTTCTATTTTAATCATGTGACACGGTTTTTCTCAGCAGGGGATTTTTGTCATGAACGCTAAAAATAGGTGTCCATAATATACACGTGGCTGCTAACATAGGATTGACTCTATAAATAAACTACGACAGAAATTTTTCCTACGTAAAACATATATGCCAAACAGTCGTAGGACCCTGCTGCCCACCGTTTGTATGAGATGTAGGCGGTAGAAATTAACTTCTGAACAAAGGGGTGCAACGGACTCCCAGCCGTCAAAAAGAGGGAGTCCATAGCAAAATGAGGGAGTCCGCAGTCTGATGTTTAAAACTAAAGATATTAATAATAACGTGTGTGCTTATTTGCGTGTTTGCGAATAATAACGTCTTTAGACATTTGCTGAAAAAATACGGCAATTCCGCGAGGCCGTGCTTTGGAACGAACTAGTTAGTATAGCAGAATTTTCAGGGAGTCACACGGACTCCTGCATATGTCAAATCAGGGAGTCCGCTCTGGAATGAACTAGTTAGTATAGCAGAATTTTCAGGGAGTCACACGGACTCCTGCATATGTCAAATCATGGAATCCGACAGTAAAGCAGGGAGTATTTGACTCCAGACTTGCGTTAATTTTTTTACCCTGTTTGTATGTGTTTACGAATTGCACAGGATCTGCATGACTAGCGTAGACAGTAATAATAACTGTAGGCAATGCTTGAGGTATAATTCCCCGCTGTTATTGCTTGTCCAGGCAGTCCTAATTCTTAATTAATTATTATTATTAGTAGTAATTATTATTATAATAGTAATTATTATTATTAAATTATTACAGGCAGTCCACTGACTGTACTTGCTGACGAGGCACAAGCCGGCATGGTCATAGCGACGGGCGATGGACTTTACAGATGCCTTGTGGATGAGGAAGCTCATTTCACTGTACGTGGGCTGAAGGACCAACCTGTTGTGCGGGTGGACGGTACGTGCAGGGTGATATATATACATGCAGACTCAATACATAGACTGCAATAAAATTATATATATATATATCAAGAGCTAATAATACAGTATGTATTGTTAGACATTATTTACATGTATATTATTACATCAGCTATATTATTATCTGTACTATATATATATATACATACAAATATAGCTGATATCTAATAATACATGTCTGCTAGTAGTGATCTACGAGTCGCTGCGTTTCTGAATATTGATGGTGGTCTGTTTGTCAGGTGATTCCATCTGCAGGTCAAGTGTGTTATCAGGAGTGATGGGAAATTCGGTAATTGAGTGCTGCTACAATCAGAGAGGCGTTTGTTTATTCATAATAGCATAACAGTTGAGCACCTCATCACTAAAGAATAGCAATCAGGAATATGTTTGGAAATCAATGAATTTTTATGCGCGGTTCTCCAGGTCCGAATTCCATCGCGAAGGTGACCGTGAGACCCGTGCCTGAGCAGGGATGGAAGATTTTCTACACACCTGTAGAAGTGGGAATCTTTAATATCAAAATATTCGGCAACGGCAGGGAAATAACAGGTAACAGCTGACATATATCACCGCGTGTTATGGAAGGGAAGGAGGAGGAGAATGTTATGTGAATCCATCTTTCGAGAAGGGAAGAGAGATTGCAAAATTAACATTGAGTCTGAATTCTGACTGAGACATGTTGAAATAAAAACGAGAAACCGTGTTTTTTTATTGTCTTCCTAAATTATGTTGAAGATATTTAGCTAAAATGTATGGATTTTAAACGAATCTATAGGTGATATAGAGCATCTACTAGATGCAAGTGTCAAGGATCTCAGATAATAGTATATACATACCAATATATGTGTATATGTACATTTATCTGTATGAAGAGGTGGCAGAGTGGTAGAGGCCAGAGTTCGTGTGCATGGCTTCATGCTCTATAACTTGACCATGACTGTCGTAGGGAGCCCCTATCACCCCAAGGTCACAGATCCGCGCAGGGTGAAGGTCGTCGGTGGCTGGCACAGCATCATGGACGCCAACAATAGGCTCTACCTGAAGGTCGGAGAGGAGAAACGCATTCAGTTCGACATCACTGAGGCTGGTCCAGGTATGAGCGAGCACAACACTCCCCCGCGGTGCTCGTAGAATGCCCTGCTAGCCAGAGAGAACTTCCAGTATATATAGAGTAGCTTCCAGTTATATAATGATAAATTCCAAAGTTTCTGTCAAATACCAAAGATGTGATGTCCAAGACTAGAGGGCGGATCTTTCGTATACAGGGTTCGTAGCGGGTCTTCCAAAGTCTTATAAGTACTTATTTTGCCAAAAATAAAATAAGGGCCCTTATTAGTACTTATTTTTTGTGAAATCTTAGAAAAGTACTTAATAGTCATTTTTCAACATTTTCTGTGTTGAATTTCGCTGAAATCTGCTGTGCAATTGTGTATATAAATATTATTAGTGTACTTTAATAGTCGGTGATCTATCAGAAATCGCGTAAAAAAGTCTTATTTTGGCCTCCAGAAAGGGTCTTATAAGTCCTTATTTCAACATGTGTCTTACTACTATGAACCCTGGTATAGTACATTGATTCTGTAAACCATATTTTTTTCTGTCACTTTGCTGCATGATAAGCTATTTACTGGCACGCGTTCACACGCAGCTTTGGGGTTAAAGATGGTTTGACCGAGATTTTACCATTCAGAAAACATCTTGGCATATTGCCCTAACTCAATCTAATTTCCACTATTCGGATCACGCGCTGTTGCAGCAGGCAGTACAGTTGCAGACCTTTCCATGTGTATTTCCCCGTGTAAAAACGACCAGGAACACGTATAGATGTTAGTACGTATAGATTGTTACAGCATGCCAGGCTGTGCGTGGCAGCGGACACACGCCCGCCTTTAATCACGTGTGAAATAATCGGGGACACAGTGTCAGAAGCAACATTATTAGTCCTAACATTACTCTTAACATTAACTATTTCTCGTAGGCCGTATATACGTCTATACACTGCGTATGAGCGACTCGTAACTTCACCACTTTTTTTCCTGACGGCCTACGAGAAAAAGTTGATGTTGAGACTAATGTTGAGACTAATTTTGCTTCTTACAACGCGCGTATAATGGCACGTACGTGTGGCAAGCTGATTTTATGGGTTTCTTCTGCTCGTTAGGGGAGATCATGGCCGACGTAGACGGTCCCCACGACCAAGTGCCGGTGGCTGTGGAGAAACCGAGTGACACGAGGCGGAGAGTCTGCTTCACGCCTCCCATCGAAGGTAGGAATCTCGCGACGTTGAAACCGACGTCGAAAAAAAACTCGGCAGAGGCAGAGAGAATATCCGTTTACGAACTCGTTAAGTGTCATTTCTCAGAACTCATCGACTTATTTTCATTACTTTATTTTATTACTTTATTTTTCGTTACCTTGAGAATTCCGTTTATGAACTCGAATTTATTTTGATCGCACTATTAATCGCGTGTTCTGTATTGATAATAATGATGGAATCTGTTTTACTTTTAATTTTATTGCGTAGCCGGCGATTAAGGTTATATCGCAAAACCCATCGTATTGACTTCACGCTCGCTCTCGTATTTCAGGTCACTACGAACTATCACTATTCTGGAACAAAGTGCCATTGCCAAAATCGCCGATGGAAGGTTACGCGACGCTTTCGAGTCCTTCACGAAGCCCGGTGTCGCCATCTAAAGGCAGCATGACTAGACATGTGGTTGAATCGTCGAGCATGACTACCAAGCACATTTCCGGCACAGAGGGCAACACCAAGGTGATTCTGCGTGGCCGAGGATTACAGGAGGCGAAGACAAAACAAGAGGCAGAGTTCATCATTGATGGTTCACACTGCGCACCCGGTACGTATGACTGAGTAAGGTTTCTCGACTAAAGCTGCGTTTACACTACCAAGTACCAACGTAATGTTGTCAAATTGGTGAGTTGGACCAATTTTGCAATTCGGCAACACAGAGTTGGCGAAAATAGAACATGTTCTAATCTCCCAACTAGTTGTTATTGACCAGTTGCTCCCCCAACTTTTGCGTTTACACTGCCAATTGTTGGTTGTATAGTTTCGATGTTGGTCCAATTCGCCAATTTGACAACATAAAGTCAGTAGTGTAAACCCAGCTTAAATCGCCTTGAAGAGTGTGCTGGTGATGCTGGGTATACCGTGGTGGCTGAAATGGCCGTATATTTCAGTGTTAGTGCAAAATGCTGGCAGTTTCGATTTTTTTTTATCTGCATGATTCATAATTCCCTTTCAGAAATTGATGTATAAACATGATAGCCCCAAGTAGTAAAAATGATTTTCACGAATTTTGCTTTACCTTGATTTTTTATGTAGATTTTAGGTCCATTGGTTTTTGGCTTGTTATAGTGGTAATAACAAGAAATCGTCCAAATGTTAACTGTGAAGATTTGGGGTAGCCTATCAGGACCCTGGACACTAACATAGTGTATCAGAGTTGTCGTGACCTGTATATGTGGTTGTGTGTAAAACAAATGATAGATGATTAAATGATATGCGCATATTGTTTATATATTATTAATATATGTGTATTTGCAGGAAGACCAGTGGCGAGCATTCAGAGTACATCTAAGAGTGGATTTGGAATACCAGTCGACGTGGAACAGATTGACAACAATGTGTATCGCTGCGTGTACGTGATCAACACGCCTGGTACGTCGCCACATTCCGCGATTCATTCTCGTGAACTCTTAAAGCAATATTTGCGAGATTCTGGCTTAGAAACGCTCAATCCGTATAAAATATAGCTAAATGTAGTCTTGCCTCGCAGTGGATATATCACTGATTACACTAACTTGAAAACCACTAAGATTTTATAAGCAGTTATAGCATAGAAAATTGCTTATGAACACATCGTAACACAACGAAAATAACATCGAGTCGCAAGATTTGCAGGGGCGTGTACAGGGGGGGTCCGGCCCCCCCCCCTTGCTCGCGCAGAAAACGCATCTAAGGGGGTCTAATTTCAGAAATTTAGTAACCCAGACCCCCCCTTTGCGTGCTCGCAAGTTTGGGTTACGGTTAGACCCCCCCCCCCCCTGGTTCAAATCCTGTACACGCCCCTGATTTGTTAAATGTGTCAACTTGTAATTTGTCGGTGCAAACGAGATTGCGCGAGAGACGTGTAAGTCTATGGACGATAGCTGGCACTACTAACTGGTCAAAGATTACAGGAAAAGGCGGTGGTAATCGAACGTGTTCGAAACTTGCACAAAGAAAGGGTATGCCTTCTCTGTCCTCTTTACTCATGAGCAGTGAGCGAAATCAGTAGTAGTACTTCCAGCGCGAGTACTTCCAGCAGTACTTCCAGCGCGAGCGAAATCAAAGGTCACGACGGGCGTCCATTTTCTTTTCGGCCATGTTTGCAGGCGCCTACCTCCTGAACATCATGTGGGGTGACAGACACGTCAGCGGGTCACCGTTCAAGGTCAGCGTCACGGGCAGCCTGTGTGACCCGAACAAGGTCACCTTGAGCGGCGAAGGCTTGAAGGGCGGTGTCATCGGGAGAGATCTGGTGTCGAAGATTGACACAAGGAGAGCAGGACCCGGTAAGCATGTTTTGCCGATATGTTCGTTAACCCGAGTACACAAGCAGTGCTGTCAGGAGTCACCCACAGCTTTCTTGGCAAGTATCTATTTCGGCTCGCACCGACTGATAATTTAGTTCCATTCGTTTACCTAATAAGAGTTTTCAGTTTGTATACACGTAGCTTAGCTGAATAAAACCCAATCAATTTGAAAAAAGAGGCAATGATAAAACAGTTATTGATCATCTTAAAGTTCCATAACTGACTAAGGTAAAGAAGATAGATGTAAAAACTAATTGCAGCCTAACTAATTACTATTACTAATTCTTTTAGATGACTTACTAGACCGACTTTACTTAAACCCATTAGCTACGCGACTAATTAACTAAACTTTGCGTTGAACACGTGAATTCTGGAATTCATTCAGTCGACTCCTGAACACTTCTGTGTGGATCGTGTGCGGATCGCTCAATTTGGCTTCCGTTAAGGAATCACGTTTGGGTTCTTCTTTGAAGGTGAACTGACCGCGCATTGCGTCGGACCGCAGAAGGTAGCCTACTGTGAGCTGTTTGACCACCGCGATGGCACGTACACTCTCAACATTCGCCCGCAGGAGGCAGGCAAGCACACACTGCACGTGAAGTATGACGGAGAAAACGTACCAGGTACGAACGCGCGGCTGTCGACGCAAAGGTCTCGCGGTTTGTGAAATTTTGAAGAGAAATTTTGCGTGAAAGTCATTTTATTGCGATTATAATTATATTGCGATGTTATATCATACCAGGTACGAACGCGGGGCCATCGACACGGTTTGTGATTGTGAATTTTCGAAGAGAAATGTTTTGCGTAAAAGTTGCGATATTTTACGACTTATGACAGCAGTAACGACACGTAGGTTTTTTCTGACGTCGCCTAGGTGCGTCGTTCATGGAATTTACAAAAATGGGAAATTCTTTGCAAAAGTAGTTGCAATAGAGTTACAACAGTCCTGAAGACTCGCAATTTTTCTGACTATGCCGCCCCTAGGCTCGCCATTTGTGGAATTTCAAAGTGATGTTTTCAATCGCCATTAGTCGTACCAACGTTGCGATATTTCGGACCATTCCAAGGCTCACCATTCGCGAAATTTTGAAACGAAATCTTACACACAAGTTACAGCAACATTTAGGAGTTACAACAGTCCTGCCGACCCTTGATTTTTCTGACCACGCTCACCCCCTCCCTCCCGCAGGCTCCCCGTTTGTACTGAGGGTGGCCGGCGCGCCGGACGCAAGCAAGGTGAAGGTGTACGGGCCAGGCATCGAGGACGGAGTGCTGGCGCTCTACCAGAGCCGCTTCATCTGTGAGACGCGAGGTGCCGGCGCCGGCCAGCTTACCGTCAGGATCCGCGGACCGAAAGGTAGGTGGCAGCACGGGTGGCAAGGGTAGGTGGCAGCAGCAGCGGTCGCAAGGGTAGGTGGCAGCAACAGCAGTGGCAAGTGTAGGTGGCAGCAGCGGCGGCAAGTGTAGGTGGCAGCGGCAGCGGCAAGGGTAGGGTAGGTGGCAGCAGCAGCAGCAGCGGCAAAGGTAGATGGCCGGCAGCAGCAGCGGCAAGCGTATGGGCAGCAGCAGCCACGCAGCGGCCTGGCAAGGGGTAATGGAGCAGCAGTGGCAAGCAAAAAAAAAAAAAAAAACGGCTGTTTAGGTGCAGCGGCGGCAGTGGCAGCGCAAGGGTAGGTAGCAGCAGCCTATGCAAGGGTTTAGCGGGCAGCAGCAAGCCGCGTAAAGTGTAGGTGCCAGCAGAGCAGTGGCAAGTGTAGGTGGGCAGACAGCAGCAGTCGGCAAGTTGTATACGGTGGCATGCAGCAGGCCGAGCAGCGCGGCTAAGGGTAGGTGGCAGCAGCGAGCTGGCAAGTGTAAGGTAGGCAGGGCAACGGCAGCTGCAAGGTAGGTACTGGTGGCAGCAGCAGCAGCAGCGCGCAAAGGTAGATCGGCAGCAGCAGGGCAAGGGTACGGTGGGCAGCAGCAGTGGCAGGGTACGGTCGGCAGCAGCAGCCGTCAGGCAAGGGGGTAGGTCGCAGCAGCAGCGGCAAGGGTAAGGTGGCAGCGGCAGCCGGGCAAGGCGTAGAATGGCAGGCAGCAAGCAGCAGCGCAAGGGTAGATGGGCCAGACAGCAGCGGCGAGGGTAGGTGGCAGCGGCAACGGCAGTGGCAAGGGTAAGGTGGCATAGGCAGCGGCCAGTTGGCAAGTGGACTGTATGGTGGGGCGAGCAGTAGCAGCAGCAGCTGTAAGCGGCAAGGCTTATGATTAAGATCAGCAGCAGCGGCTATCAGGGTCAGGGCAGCTGGTCAGCAAGCATTCGAGTTAAGGCGTAGGTGCTAGCTGCTTGGCAGTGGGCAAGTTGTAAGGTGGCAAGCCAGCAGCAGCGCAAGGGTACACATCGCGCTAGAGGCACTAGACGTCACCGGCCTCATACCTTTGGCCAACAGACTAGTATTCCAGCTCTTGGGAAGTAGATGTTGCCTTTAGCATATCATCAAGTGTGCTGTTCGAAGTGACCGTAGATAGCTCAAGCACGGAATTGATAACGTAGCTAAGCCATCCACACTGCGATTAATTTGGTATTAATCCCTTTGGGTTGCTCCGGCTGGGGCATGATGTGCACCTTTGCGAGCTCTCAAGAATTATCAGATCGCAGCTGTGACTTCTGACACGTAGTGAGACTTGCGCCGTCACTAAAGAATTGTCTAGGCAGATGTGAATAGGGGTTTATATTGTGCTTGAGGACAAGGTTCTTGACACACGCTTCACAGACTGTGTTACTGCGCAAGGACGCACTTGAACCAGTCGCGAGAATAAACTGACAGTCGTCATTTTACGACGGACGTTCTCCTTAGAGAGAATTCCTCGGTGATCTAGCTCTTGTTTGGATAGGCACAAGGCACACGGTTTGCTTGATTGAATGATAGTGCAAAAGGCACTATGTCACTTCATCGCTTCAGTGAAGAGCGCGTTACATGAATGATTGAAACTGCTCTCTTGGCCCGCCAGTGGAGTTGTGAGGCTCATTTACGACAGCCTAGAGTTGGGAGTGTGCTCGACACGCGCAGATATGTTCTTTCGTGTGCGTATGCACCAGCAAGGACGGCTGAGAAGTGCTCTTCCTTGGAGTCGGGTTGCCTATAGCAGCGAGCAGCAGACGGCAAGGGTAGTGGCCATCAGCAGCATTGGCAAGGGTAGAGTGGCAGGCCATAGCCAGCAAGTTGGTAAAGGGTAGGTTCCCGGTCAGCAGCGCCGCAAGAGGTAGGGTCGGCAGCAAGCAGCAAGTGGCAAGGGTTTAACGTGGCCTCCTGCGATCAACGCAGAGCAGAAGTTGGAGTTCATAGCAATGTGTTTTACAGGATGGGACTACAAGGCACTATTTCGCTGCGGCACTTCTGGTCTGCTCATGGTGTTGCTGCTGTAGGTGCGCACCTTATAGGTCGTCCCCTTCTGGCAAGATTCGGCCTGGAGGGACTTTTAAGATCTCTTTCTCTCTCCTGACATAGGCAACACTTGGTCCAGTTTCAGTGTTCCCACGAATTTTTACAGTAGAAACTCGTCATGGTTAGTTTGACGTTCAGGGTTAGAGGGTTTATCCTTTTTACCACATGTACATGTTATATACATTTCGGTTTATGCCGGATACAACTTAGATTTTTGCACCGTCGCTAACCTAGTCGATCGTTCATCCAGTGTCATAAGTCCGTGCGATTCTGATATTACATCCAACTACAAACCCGTTATCTTTGGCTCGGCTCTCCCGCGCTGTGCACACGTCCTGTCCATTCAGGTTGCGGCCTGCCTAACTGATCGGGGATTGATTAGCAGATTTGGGACGACTAGTAGGTTGGGATTGCAGTATTGATGCAACTAATTTTCCTAGCTGACGACTGAACACGCCATGCTTGGGTTTACAGCAGGTGATGTCACAATGTCTTGGTTGTAGCCCGACAATCACTCCTGTCAAAGGAACTTTATCAACTTATTGCACTTGCAAATTATTAGAGCTAGATTACTCCATCACACGCAAGAGACCTTCTGTAGTGATACGCTCAGTCTAGTTTTAAGCCCGGCGACCAACGCGGTTTTACAGGTGTTGCCGATTGCCGTGCACCTGAGCATCCATTTTTGGAGCATAATAAGAGCTTTACACCGATGGTGAGACCAGTGACCAGCTAGTCCATCCAATGTGATGTGGCTGAATCGCTGAACAAGGTATGCAATGAACAAATGGAGCCCCAAGTATATAAATATGTGTCCGTGTGCTTTCATAACAGGAAAATCTACTCAGCAGGCTTGAAACATCTAAGAATCCGACAACCTAGATCATGCAAATCGGTTCCAACTACAAATCTTCTAAGCAAAACGTCAATCGAGAGGCTAATGTTTGTCGGCATATTGAAAAATCGCCATATCTTGAATTTTCAATTGCCAATCGGGGCAAGATTATGCATAGTATCACTGGAGAACAAGTTGTGCAAAGTTTGAATGATTGTATCAATATTTTCCGATTTTTCTGTTATCGCCCGCTAAGTACTGCTATGGGCATTCGCAAAACTCTTAGCATGTGCCGCACAGGATAACGTTTCGATTAGATTCTCCGACCAGGGGCGTGTAAGAATTGCGAAACGCGGGTTAACATGCCAAAGACAATCGTCATTATTCGTTTAATTTAATTGTTATCGCAGCTAGGTTTCTTGATGCTATTACCGGAAGGTACTTCATCACATGAAATCCATATTTTTAATGTGTCTTACTAGATCAATCATGTCGTTTTTGGAGTACATGAGCCGAAAAGCACGTGATATCAGTTTCTCACACAGGTTTTGTTCTTGTCTGAAACCCGTTAAATACTTCTAAAACGATATTGATATTTGTGATTCCTCAACTATTTTGTGAAAGGCATGTATGAATTAAACACAGAAAGAGGAAATAACGGCAGGCTCGATATAGAGACAAGTAAACCCGCCGGAGTTATAGGTAGCAAAACGTCCGAAACCAGCGTGGTCAGATTCAGAATGCAAGGCTGTGACAGATAAAGCTATCAAAGCACAACAGCAGTCAGGGCCAAAACGCTGAACAAAGTGAAACAGAACATGAGGAGGCGAAAAAATATTTCGGGTAGGTCGGCAAGTGACAACTTAGCAACCTGCGGAAGGAACGGCACGCACCAACCAGTCCATAAGAACAGATTGCGTTATAGATGGAGCTCCAACAGTGCAGCTTGTCCTAATTACTCCATCCTGGATTATCTCACGACAGTATTAGAACACTACAGTGCATATCCACCGTGAGCAGCAGCCAACAATCTAATAATTTGCTGTAGTCGGACGTGTAATTTACTTTCGTTCGTATTTGTTTTTGCAAAATAACAATAGTCGAATTTTTAAATATTATTATAATCGTCGAATTACGTCACGTTGCAGCTTCCTTTAGAACTTCAAAAGAACTACTTTATTCATGGGTGTTTTGGCTCGGTCGCTGACATAACATCAGCGATTGGTGATTGCGTATCAGCTATATTTGCGGATGAGTATCAACCACAGGCTCCCTCAGAAGCATCCAATGCGTCATGCGTGGTTTTCGTCGCTGCGTAACACTTTAGCGCCTTCCGAGCTGCTGGCGATTTGCGAAGCTTGCGACGTTGGACGCTACATAGCTATCGTCCATCCGTTTTTCGCTACAACAGCTGATGACTGCTAGAGCCAGCGAAAACATCAATGTGTGATGGTCCGGCTCTGGCTTGTATACAATCTGTGGTCGTTCAGTGGCAGGAGCCTCTAGGCATTTACACGTTTGGCCGCCATGGAGCCTTTGTGTGTTATGATAAGGTAAACGCTAAAGGGAGTTCAGCTGGTATATTGGCTGCCATCTACGTTGGACCGTGTTGCTGCTTCGATTGACGTACGACCTACATCGTTATAGTTCGATCATGATTGGACCACAGCGACGTGTTGCGCAGCCCAACAGATCAAGCGCAGCTTCGCAACATACTGTCAGCTTTTTGCTGGAACGTTTAAAGTAGCCAAAATCATCCTGACGCGTCGTTGGCGTGCCTTTCTTGCCTGCTTAGTCCCCACATTCCTACATTGGTTCTTTCAGAGCCTTTACGCAATACACACCCGCAAGCCTGCTCGCCCTATTTTGCCGCCTAAATGCGCAAAGGCAACCCATTTTTTCGTTGAACATAATCCTGAATCGTTATCTGTACTTCATGAAGTTACTGACGAGTTCCAAGCTGCAATAAGAAAGCCTTTTTAGGCAGCGAACACAGCAAGTAACAGGTTTGGGCAACACCAACGTTCTCCGTCACCAGCAGGAAAGCTAACGGGTAGCTGCACACCGTGCGAACACCCACGCAAGGAAGCAGATGCAATA